GGGTATATGGCTCCAGGTGATGTACTTGCTAGTTTAATATTTTTCAATTTTATAATGTTGTCCTTGATTATGAAGAACTTATTATAATTTTCTTTTCATCATACAAATGAATATAATATGCCCACGAGATCTAGCCTAGTGGAAAATGACATTGACTTGCAGACTAGAGATCTCAGGTTTGAACTCCCATAGCATCATAGTTGTGTGTGTGAGAGAGGAATCCACCTTCCCTGTAGTTTAGACTATCACTTGTATAAAAAATATATATATAATATATTTCACACACACATAAGTATAATTCAAATATAATTCGTATTGCAGAGTATGGAATGGAAGGAATAGTTTCAACAAGAGGGGATGTTTACAGTTTTGGAATTGTAGTGATGGAAACATTCACAAGAAGGAAGCCAACAGATGAGATGTTTGTTGGAGAGATGAATATCAAGCAATGGATTACAAAATCACTATTACCAGATGCAATAAAAGATGGAGTTGTGGATGGTAATTTACTTGGGACAGAGCAGGAAGATGATGATTTTGTGAGCAAGAGGGATTGTTTATCATCCATTATGAGATTAGCTCTCGCTTGCTGTGCAGAATCACCAGAAGAGAGGATAAATATGAAAGAAGCTGTAGCCACACTCAAGAAAATCAGGACAAAGTTTCTGAAGGACATTGCAGGAGGTGTTCTGTTAAACCATCCTCTTGTTCAGCACTTCAATTAATGAATTCTATGACATATATATTTCATGCACTTTGACTTTTAATTTCTGTCTTTAATTGATGGACCAAGTCATGCTTTTTGTTTTGATGTTTAACTGATTGTATGCTGGAGACTAGACTAATTGTACTACAATTTCAATATGGTCAAATGATATCATATTCAAATGATTTTTTTGTAGAGATTATCTTTGAATGAGTATCTACAAAATAGACGGTTTAGATTAGTGAAATACAATACAGAGTGAACCCTACAAGGGTGTCTCTCAAATAAGTTTAATTATTTGAGGAATCCCTCAACTGAAGCTCCATGTGTTTATATATATATATATATACACACACAAGTAAACTCAATTCTATGCAAAATAAACAAAATTATAAAAAAAATCACTCAAACTTGACTTTTCATTAAAAGGGCAGAGCCCACGAAAAACGAAAAACATATGAAAGTTCCAAAACAGAACTAGGACTAACAAGCGACAAACATTAGCTAACACAGCAAACTGCAAAGAAACCAAACAAAGACGTCGCCCAACATTAAAGACACCAAACACCCTCCTTGCAGACTGCAGCAACTCCGCTAGGGATGGGGACAAGGAAGGCCATCCTTGTTCAAAACATGCACCAGTGAGGATGGAGGCTGAAAGACCCAAGTCACAAGGCTCATCCTCGGACACACAATTTTCACAATATGAACTGCAACTTTATTAGCACTTCTTGGACACCAAGACCAACTAGCATCAATGAAATTTGGATGGCCAAGTTGATTCCGAATCCTGCAAAAGAAAGGGTACAACTCCCACCAACCACACGATATATCACCTTCTAATCCCCGGGTCACCTCTCTACAATCCTTCTCATAATGAACATTTTGGAACTGATGTTCAATAGCAAAGGAGCACGCCTTGCAAGGACACGCTTTAGCCACATGGAACGACCCCAAGTGGTCCTGGGCAACCAAACCAATGCCTCCACATTTTGAACTAGCAGACCAAGCTGCATCCATATTAATTTTAACCTTAGGGGCCGTTGGGGGAGACCAAGTTCGATTCACCTGGTTTGTTGAGATAGAATGGAGTCTAGCATCCAAAGAAGCAGGTTTTGCTGCCATGAACTCAGAGACAGCATTGGAAGTTGCGTAGATGACTTCCATTGGGGATGTCAGTGTCACTCGACCTTCAATGACTGCCTTGCAGCGAGTTTTCCATATGTTCCAGCAAATAAAGGCAACATGGGAAGCGATTCTTGTTTGCTCTATCTTACTGAGCCGGGTTCGAAAATAATTCTCTGGAACCATCCGCTTAAAGTTGTGATGTCCCTACAAATATGGATGTTCAGGCTGCATCCAAACCAGATAGGAGCTAAGATTCTCTGTCCTGATTTTTTCTTGGGTTTGTTTCTCTCTGGCTTCCACAGCAGCGGGCCCAAACTATGAAGGGACCCAAGGGTGTTGGTCACAAGAAGAGATCACCCGGCGACATTGTTTCTTGGAGCACCCTCGTTGTCATCATGAACTGCGCCCTCTTCCCCGGCTTCACCTTCTCCACTTTCCGCTTTCTCTTTGGGGAAAGATAGTGCACTGCGGGTCCTCCGATGAGCTTGTCAACTTTTGGGAGTGTGAGAAGAAGTTGTCGCACAGTGGGTTCCTCAAGGGGCACAAGCTGGCGGTTTGTGTTTGGCAGCTGCCGGGAACTAGGTGTCTATGCTGAAGATTTATGGGTTTCTTATTAAAATCTATGCTGAATGGGCAAAATAGGTATTTCAGACTTTCAATAAACTAAGAAATTGGGCAGCTGTCCTATTTTGGACAGCTAAGGGTGCATAATATGTTACATGGAAGCCAACGTGTAAAAAGAGGGAAAAGGGGGAGCGGGAGAAGAGCATTATTGGAGGTCATATGCAACATGTACTTTGGGCCATTCTCCATTTTGGTCCCCATAATTTCAATTCAATTCAGTCGTATCCCTGTAGTTAATTGTGGCTTGCAACTAAGTCCAATTTGGATATGAGACTGTTAATATTGATGGAAATCTCGATTTGGCTTTACAGAACACTTAATATACTCAATACACAAAAAGAAAGGAAGGCCATTAAAATTCTTCGGCAAAGAAGTCCAAGAAGAAGCTAAAAGCTTTAATCCCAGCCCAGAGTAACTTCAGTTCTTCCTTGTTTCCCTAAATAACCACTGTAGTCCATCCAAATCTAACACACAACGTAATAGCCAAAACAGCCCACCTCCAAGAGTAACCAGCTTTTTCCGGCTCCTAACAAATAGCCCTTTGTCTACAACAAAAAGTAGCTCCTAGGACACACCCGCTTGAATCCAAATTCCAAACACCTAGTAACATTAACAATGTTATGAATAAACATCCTACATAAGTAAAAAAAACATCATTATGAAATAGAGTACAATTTCTAACCGGACTACAGCTTCATTGCCATGGAAAGCTGCGGCATGTGCAAGTTGATACCTTTTTTTTTGACCCACTGCTTCTTTATCAAATATGGCATCTTATAAAACAACTGATGATGCTCCCTGAGCAATATATTCCCCAACAGAATCTGTATCAATTAGAAGAACAAAGTATCGACATAAGTAACATGGTCTGATGCTCAAAGCCAATAAATCATATCTTTCTTCAAGAACATCATGAACTAGATGAGATAAATAGGAGTAAACTTTCAGTACTGGAAATGAAATTAGCTAAATATAACTACAAAGGTGTTCTATATGGTTTAAGTTTTAACTAATGTAGACCCAGAAAACAGTTATCACGATGCAAGCCCAAGACCTTTTCCTTCATGCAACCCTTAGCAATATCTGCTTATCACATAGAAGAGAAGAGCAACCCACCGGGCCGATGGAACTACCCAACTTACATTGATCAGCTAGCACCTTATGCTTTTCAACCCCTCTAGCACCGTATGTATTTCTCACTTTTCATAAACTAAATATCTTCCCAATACTAACACAAAGTGATGGGGTAGACTGGAGTTTTAAAGGGAACAGGAGAGTCAATTACCAACCTAATGTTACGCCTTGACAAACAACCATTGAGATATGGGGAAAAGGCTTCTTGATAGCTGATATATATTGTGCGCCACCTAATGCAGAAAAAGGATAAACTAACCAATAAACAACTTTAGAACCCACCAGTCATGCCTGGAATGGAACAAACATGCATAAGAAATTTAACTGAACCAGCCAATAATCAGTTAACAATCTAATCACTTCCAGTTTTAAATTACATGCACATGCAACTAGAAATGCATACATAATGAATTATGTTGGGTAAAACAAAGCAACATTATGCACCAGTACAATACACGAAAAACCAGTGAAAGTTCATGGCTTAAGAAACAAAAACTACGTCCAAAGTGCTAACTCAATAGAGAATGACTACAAATTATGTAGAAGAAAAAAATTACAGTAAACAGGCTGCGGTGCTTGCCAAAGGTCTTGGCTTGTCTGCAGATTGTTTGGAGATTGTTCTAAGGTGATGGACAGTTATAGAATCGGCTTGTTGAGGGTGAAAAATCAGTGAGGACAGTTCCTACCTGCACAGCACTTGGCACACTCAGAGAACACTTAGAGAAAATATATTTTAACGGTTTCAATTTATATACGGACCAGTACCTCAACCTTCTTGTAATATGGAATTACAATTTTGAATACCAATAAAAAAAAAACACCTTATTAAGATTTATTTCAGGTTGGTCACTGCTATACATACAACCAGATTGGTCACTTACATATGCATCTACTATGATTTGCACCAGAACAGATGCATGCCTATTCTTCCACATTGAACCAATATTTATGTTATACAATGCAGACACAGCAAATCTGCAAATATTACTTAATCTACATTCTCTGTCAAACACCATGAATTGGAGCCCACAAGAAAATACAAAATATATGTCAAGATATCGAGGAAAAAGATGATTACCCCTAAGACTCTTGTAGGATGGTCATGTACCAGCTCTCGTAGAACATGTGTAGGAAGGGGAAAAAATAACATAACTTCTCAATCTTAGTGACCATTTTTAACAGGAAACAGGAAAGTTTGAATGTTTAAACAACCTCAAACACACCTGGGGTCGACATCGCAATCTCCAGCTACATATGAAGAAATATAAAATATTTGAAACCCATCACTGGTGATCCAAAATGAAAGTATACTACTACACTGTAGATGTCATTAACAAACAATGCAAACATGCAGCAAACATTTCTTGTACAAGGGTTGCGCTTCCCTGGCAGTTGGCACTCTTTTTGGTAAAATGTGACACATATCATCAGGTTACCAACAGACAGAAGAAAAGGATGAGCTATTGAAAATAAATCAGGGTTATCTTTTAGAATGAGAGACAACCATTATATATCAACCAACATGCTTATGATTACAAAACTACCCCAGCTGCTGTATGAGAAAACCCTAACACTCGTAAAAAACAGGAAAATGCAGCAGATACTTCTTCCTTCCCATATGAAGTTGTAACCCAACTTTCCAAAATGCAAGGCACCTTAGGCTTGGCAAGAATTTGAAGTATCAACCACCAGGGATCTTGCACATGCAGCTTCAATTGCCAGCTCTGTACTACACAAAAGGGAAACAGACAGTAAGCCCAAAAACCTGGGGTAAATCATTACCAAAAATACAAAAAACCTTGTAACATTGTTATAAAATTCAATCTTAACAACTCTATCACCATGTTTAGTTTAAATTTTTGACAAGTGAAGATTAGCAATATTATCTTTTTAGAGCAATAAGAAATATTATTCAAACAAAATGTAGCACAAGCAGCCAGGGTTACACAATAAATCAACACGGTTTCCCTGCACAAGAAGCATAACAGAAACTCAAAACCAAGTCAATTACAAGCTAGAAAGGAGCTCAGCACCCCCTAAGCCTCAAACCTGCATCGGAAATAGAATAGACATGATTCATCACACACGGGACAGATGCTTTGTTTTCCAATAAGTAAATCTCAGACAGAAGAATGAAATCTTTATAGGCAAATCTTCAAAATTTTAAAAGCGCCCTAAGGTATTCCTGGAAAAAGTTGCAAGTGGTTGTATTTCCGGAAAAGGATATTTCACTCTCGCCTTTATTTCATTTAGGAACAACCACTGATGCAATGCAAAGCAGTCCACACTGTTTTAATTAGCAGAACTGTATGCAAATTAGCTGATGGGAATATGCAAAAGTCATCAGTAAAGCAAAGACATAAGATTCTCAACTTTGCACATATTGAATGACAAATTAACTTATGAAAAGTTTTCTTGTCCATTAGCATGCTAAACACGTCCTACATAATAATGACAAAAAGAAAAGGAGATAAACTGTCCCTTTGTCTTGTTGCCCTGTCCTGAAAGAATCACATCAGAGAACCAGTTAATCATATACAAAAACTAGGGATAGTAAACACACAGGCTAATGCTATACAAAAACTTTCACAATTGAACCTCGGAAAAGGGTTAAGCCAAAAAACAAATCATAAAAGAAGTAAGAATCCAGGAGTAATGACTATATCTGATATTCTTATATAAATCTGGAGCAAAAATGAGTTTTCATATCATACTTATTGAACAACACATTTCCCAGAGAAACGGTCTCTAAAGAAAAATTGTGAAAAAACAATACAGAAAAAATAGAAAAGAAACCATTGACATATTTTTTTTTACAGGAATATAACTAGAAACTATATCATTTCTACTATAATGATCCATTGATTCACTGGTGCGGCGGAGAAATGGAGCCCGAATATGCAGCCAGTCGATCCACCAACACTCACAACCAGGAATGTACTATGAGGAAACATAATGTGAAAGCCTGGAAGCCATATTTGCAACCTGTGATTGCATTTCGACATCCTTGTTTGCAACCTGTGATTGCATTCCGACAGCCCTGTTTGCAACCTGTGATTGCATTCCGACAGCCCTGTTTGCAACCTGTGATTGCATTCCGACAGCCCTGTTTGCAACCTGTGATTGCATTCCGACAGCCCTGTTTGCAACCTGTGATTGCATTCCGACAGCCCTGTTTGCAACCTGTGATTGCATTCCGACAGCCCTGTTTGCAACCTGTGATTGCATTCCGACAGCCCTGTTTGCAACCTGTGATTGCATTCCGACAGCCCTGTTTGCAACCTGTGATTGCATTCCGACAGCCCTGTTTGCAACCTGTGATTGCATTCCGACAGCCCTGTTTGCAACCTGTGATTGCATTCCGACAGCCCTGTTTGCAACCTGTGATTGCATTCCGACAGCCCTGTTTGCAACCTGTGATTGCATTCCGACAGCCCTGTTTGCAACCTGTGATTGCATTCCGACAGCCCTGTTTGCAACCTGTGATTGCATTCCGACAGCCCTGTTTGCAACCTGTGATTGCATTCCGACAGCCCTGTTTGCAACCTGTGATTGCATTTGGGTAGCCCTGACTTTCGCCGCCGTAGCGCGATCATAGAACTGCTTGCGCGACAAAGACCTCACATTCTTCAAGTACTCATCAATGGGTATTGCCCCATCTTGCAATGCCTTATCTAAGGAATACACAACATCTTCTATAGCCAAATCAGAGGCCGTACAATCCAACATTTGCTTTGAAAGCACATCCACGCATTCAAATGCATCGTCCACATCGACACCCTTCAACCTGCCCCTAGCTTTCCCCTCATTCTCTCTCAGCCACCCCTCCAAAACTTCTGAATTCATCAACACCATCTGCAATTGCTGCTCCAAACCCTCCTTCTCGTCCCCCATCTCCTTCAAGCCTTTGTTAAGATGCTCAGACCGCTGTCTCAGCTCGGCCTGCGCATTGAACAAGCCTTCCATTTCTGCCTCCCTCGTCTTCCTCAACCCGGCCACGTCACCGTGCACGATCTCCACAAGCTTACTGATCGCGTTTCGCTTGAAAACCTCGTTCGGATCCTCGGTCTGAACCCGAGAAAACGACCCGCTGCTTCCATACGGGGACGGTGGGTACGCCCTCGGGGGGATCGCGGGGCGGGCAGGAGTAACCGAGCCCGAAGATCCCGAATAGCCCGAATAACTGGAATAACCCGAATTCGAAATCGCTGACGAGGAATGACCCAGATTAGGGTTAGGGTTTGGGTTTGGATTGGGATTGGGCCTGCGCTGAGAGAACAGAGGCGGGTCTTGACCAAAGACAGCGCTGAGATTCTTGGCGAGCTCGACAAGATTGGAGCTCGGGTAGACCCAATTGTGCAGGTAAGGGATTGAGACCAAACCAGAGGGATTAACGTGTTCGTGAGGGCGCTTGATGATCATGTCGCGCGTGGGGTTGACGTAGACGACAGGCGGCTGGCGGGGGTAGGACTCCATGAGCCAGATGATGACGGGGATGTTGTAGGTGACGCCGTGAAACAACATGGGGACGGTGCCCTCGGCCTGGAGTAGGTTGACGGAACGACCGTCGTTGTGGGTGAACGTCGCCGTTTTGGGGTCGAGGGAGGGGTAGGCGGTGGTGAGAGAGACGAGGTGGTTGCGGATGTGCCATTTGGTGTCTTCGGAGTAAGGGAGGGACGAGGGGCCGCGCTGCGAGAGGACTGAGCTCAGGAACTGCTGAATCAGTTGCGGGTTCGCTGGGGTTGGACCGGCCGGCGGAACCATCGCTATTCGGGTCGGGAAAATGGAGATTTCAGATTATGAGAGAGAGAGAGAGAGAGAGAGAGAGGGTATTGATTGTTGAAGTGAAATTGGGGGATTTGTTTGTTTGTTATGTTTGCTTCGCGGAAAAGGGATTGTGAGCGTGCCGTGTTGAGTTGAGACTCGCGTGTGAGCGTGTTGCTGACTTCCCCTTTCAGAACTGGTGCCTGAATTCTCTAAACGCTCAAAAATATCTCTGGACACCCAAGCGCTCCTTACTTGTTTTTTTCTTTTTTCTTTTTAATTTTTAAATACAAATGACATTAGACTTTAATTTAATCTAAATTATCAGAAGGGATTCGAACTCTGATGCAGAGTAAAGAGCACATCCGCTTTAGTCATCTTAGCTAAATCCATGTCTGCAAAGTAACAAGGTTGTTCGACCAAACAAAAATAATAACGGTAACAAAGTTGTCACTACCCACTTGAAGCAGACTCTCATAATGACAGGATTTATACTAAATTCCCAAGGATCAATAGGATAGATTTATACTTGTTTCAACAAAAACATGCAGCAAGTTGATGTCTAGAGAATATACGTACACATACAAGTAATCAAGTTACAAAACAAAGCATGCCTTACAGTTTACCAGGTTGGTGATAACTTTGCATTTTCAATTTAGCTTGGAAGCTTAGCAAAATCCTGCAAGTTTTGGTGACGGCATTCTTTGGCATCGGTTTCCATAGTAGCACATTAGCCAATAAGTGTAGGGAAGTGCATTCAATTCTTAGCAAAAAAAAGAAAAGAAAAAAGAACAATAATAAATTTGATCCCCCTCTCCATACATTAGAGTAATTTAAAATAACACATTGTGAAAATGTCTACTTTGGTATAGAAAAATACTCTTTCTTATAGAACTAAAATACGGCAAACAAAACCATACTCCAATAACTCATTTTGTGTCCTGGAGACCATCCATTATGGAGCCTGCCGGCATGTGTTAAAGCTTGTTAATTACTAGACCTCAAAGCAAAAATTACTTCAATTTTCTTCCTTGTCAAATGATTCTCACTCCTGGCTGAAACTTCAAAGCACCTCTACAAAATTTGGTCATCCTGCCAAAGAGAAGCATTAAAACAAATATGTAAAAGAGCAAAAGACAGACATAACTACGAAATGAAAACTTCAAACAATCTCCTCGTATATGAATTCCAAAGCAGCTAATATTAAACTCCATTTGCATATTAGGAAATTGCAACCAAAGTAACCCCAATATATTGGAACCCAGAGTTAGATTAAATGCATATAAAGATGAGAAACTGACCAAATACGGGATTGTACAGGCTCACTTTCTTCTTCCTCCATGCTCTACAAATGAATCATGCCTTTGAGCTCTGGCCTATTGAGCACTGAAAGGTCAACTTTTCAGTTTCCCAGCGCAAGTGATGTCAGATTAATATTGATAATGTAATAACAAATACATGAACAGGTTCATGATGCTTAATAGTTCAACAAACTACTACGACGGTTTCAATTGCTTGAAGTACACATTCAAAATAAACTTAGACTAAATTCTTTATCGATCTAAGAGTGCATAATATGTTACATGGAACCCAACGTATAAAAAGGAGAACAAAAATAAGCAAAAAAGTGAAAACCTGACTTTACCAGTTTGCTAGTTCATGTCCAGCACTGTCAAAGCATTTTCCAAACTACATTTGTATAAGATTTTACTACACCTATTACAAATGGTTTAGCCTCAACTTTTTCATCCTGCATGACAACAGGAGCAGTCAGAGCGCTAAGAAAAACAGTGAACTCAGGAGAAATATAGATCATTTGGAAGTATATTGCTGAACCCTGCATAGATTTCAGACCTTTTAATTTTCTATTTTTTATTCAATTCAGTACTTGACTAAAATCTAAAGATACATAAGGATGTAAATGAGAGTAAGGGATCAGAGTGGGGAATCAGAGAGAAGTCAAATGATGAGATAATATGGATTTTGTTAGACTGAAAAAGAGAATATTCCGCCGATGCCACATACCTATTGGAGGATTAAGACAAGACTGATTAATGATTTTTCTAATTAGTAAGTGTCAGCTTTGAGTACTATTTTTAAAGACAACAATCCATACTCCAAGTTAGTAGAAGATCTTTGGATCACTATCCATCAATGTGGGTTACAAATTTTGCAGATATACAGTTAAATTATTTGCAGATATACAGTTAAATGGATGGGTGCAACTTATATACGTGTCTGTGTGAGCAACAGGGAGGGGGAAGAGCATTATTGGAGGTCATATGTAAGACGGCCAAACTACAATATTAGTTCATGTATTTTGGGCCATTCTCCATATTGGTCCCCACACTTTCAATTCAGTTGTATCCCTGTAGTTTACTGACGCTTGCAATCAGGTCCAATTTGGATTTGAGACTGTTAATATTGATGGAAATCTCGATTTGGGTTTGAGACTGTTAATTAACTACAGGGATAATAAGATAGGCAAAACCGGAAGTGTGGGGATCAAAGTGTAAATGGGCCCTAAATTGTAATTTACCACCTAAGACTAATCCCCAAATTGTAATCGACCATCCAAGACTAATCCACTTTGAAGTATTTCAAACTTTTTAATATGATAAAGGCAAACTTTATCAACAAAAATAGAAGAAAGTTCCTAAAGATGGACGATAAGTTCATCAAAATTAGTTCTTTAACCTCAAACAAAACACATAATGTACTCAACACACAATAAGAAAGGAAGGTCATTAAAAATGTTTGGCAAAGAAGTCCAAGAAGAAGCTAAACATTTAATCTTATCCCAGAGAAATGTCAATTATTCCTTGTTTCCCTAAAGAACCACTGTATTCCATACAAACCAAACACACAATGTAACAGCCAAAACAGCACACCTCCAAGAGTAACCAGCTGTTTTTGGCTCCTAACAAACCCTTTGCCAACAACAAAAAGTAGCTCCAAAGACACACCCACTCGAATCCAAATTCCAAACACCTCCAACAAGGGAGCCCTGGTTTGCCTACTAAAATGTCAATGTAAAAGATGTGGTCTGCCAACATCAGTTGCCAGCATTTACCCAGAACAAAAGCCACATGGGTTTTATCTACTCGAGAAGTTTCAAAACTAAATTGTAGCAGTAAATTTTTAGTCAAAGATAAACAGGGAAAACAATATCATAGTAACATTAGCAATGTAATGAATAAATATCCTGCATAAGTAAAAAAAAACATCACTATGAAACAGAGGACAATATCAAACCGGTCTACAGCTTCATTGCCATGCAAAGCTGCAGCATTTGCAAGTTGATAGATTTTGGTGAAATTTTTTTGACCCATTGCTTCTTTATCAAATATGGCATCTGATAAAACAACCGATGATGCTCCCTGAGCAATATACTCCCCAACTAAATCTGTATCAATTAGAAGAACAAAGAATCCACATAAGTCAGATGTACATGCTCTGATGCTCAAAGCCAAAGAATCATATCTTTCTTCAAAAACATGTTGAACTAAACCTGAAAAATAGGAGTAAACTAAATATCTTCCCAGTAGTAACACAAAGTGAAGGCAGCACTGGAGCTTTAAAGGGAACAGGAGAGTCAATTACCAACCTGTTGTTATGCCTTGAGAAGCAACCATTGAGATATGGGGAAAAGGCTTCTTGATAGCTGATATATATTGTGAGCCACCTAATGCAGAAACAGGATAAACCTGATTACCAAATAAGACGGAGTTAGAACCCCTCAGTCATGCCTGGACCGGAACAAACATGCATAAGAAATTGAACTGAACCAGCCAATAATCAGTTAACAACAATCTAATCACTTTAGATTTAAAACTACATGCAGATGCAACTTGAAATGTATACATAATGAATTATGTTGGGTAAAAGCAACATATGCACCAGTAAAATACACCAATAACCAATGAAAGTTCATGGTTTAAAAAATAAAAACTAGGTCCAAACTGCTAACTCAATAGAGAATGACTACAAGTTATGCAGAAGATATTTAAAACTTTCCTACTTTTCATTTAAGCTCCATAAAGCAAATTAGATATTTAAAACTTTCCTACTTTTAATTTAAGTACGACTCATAATTATTAAGTGTCTGATAACCAGAAACCATCATGCCATGCTCACATACCTAAATAAAAATTATAAAGGCCTGGTAAAAACAGGATAATAAATTTAGTAACGTAGCCTTATAGGTGTACAGAAAGCCAGTGAAGATGACATGTCTACCTTGATGAACTTCTACAAGAAAAAGATGAATGCGTTTAAAAAAATATAAAAAAGATGAATGACAAGAATCACCTTGACAATTTTGGCACCAGCATCATATGCAGACAATATCTGCAAATAGAAAATTAATTTGAGGTAAAGGTGATCAGCCTTTTGCAACCCCAATCAGAAAACGATGATATAAAAATGCATCTAGATTTTCCATACAATGACAATAGTAGACATCAAGGAAATAAACATTCTAATAAGTCAAACAGGTTTAAGTGAAAATCCATTAAAGCCTCGGAGATTACAAGGAGTTAGAATTTAAGTATAAGAAATGCTTTTACCTCTGTTGGGGTCATAACACCAGGTATGTATAAAACTCCACTATATTGAAAATCATCCAAAATGTCCTGATGCACATTTTTGAGTCATTAAAAGCAAGCAATATTAGATACATATCCTAATACCTTAACATGGAAAGAAACCATAATTGATAATAAATGGAAATTGTAGCAGTTACATGGAGGATCAGCCACATTGGAGTTGCCTCTCACCAGTTTATGTATATGAAATTGCTATGCCAAAAGGAATGGGACCTTTACAAAAATAAGTTGGGAGCCCCACAAAGTCTGGGGTTTTGATTCCTCAAGATACCTAGTATCTATCTTGCTATTTGCTAGACTTTCCTGCCTCCCAATGATTGTAGGGTTTGTCTCGGGGCCCCAGACAAAATAGCCATCGTAACCAAACATAACCCAATAAAAGGTAGAATGGAGAGAAGAATATGGTAGATGTGCTCTAATGCCAACTTAAAATGTGCTTTGTTGGCCTCATGCCAAGTTAGAAGTTAGATTAGATGAAGGTAAGAAACGTTGAGAGATTGGAGGAGAGAAAAAGAAGAAAAGAGAGTGAGGCTACGTCGAATTAGGGTTGCTCCTCAGAATACAATATCATACTCCTATATATATTTGTACAAGGCCGAAACAGAAAAAGAGAGGCAAAAAAAAGACTGTTCCTAATAATAACAAAACGAGAGAGAGAAACTAATAATGAAATTCATGACTAATAGATAATAAGTTTTAGTAAAGAAAAAGTGGCCAAAATTTTCTCAATGCTTACCTTAACCATAGCAGGACTCATAAGAAACTTGGCTCCTGCTATCATTGCCCTTTTGGCATCCTCAACATTTAGTACAGTTCCTACCTGCAGGGCACAAAGCACATTCAGAAGAACTAATTTTTAACGATTTCAATTTATACGAACCTGTACCTCACCCTTCTTGTAATATGGAATTAGAATGTCGAATGCCAATCAAAAACACCTTTATATAAGATTTATTTCAGGTTATACAACCACATTGGTCACTTAGAGAAATTTGAAAAGAGAAGCTATTAAGGGTTTTCTAGTAATCCAAGATTTCCCATCTTGGACATTTATGCTACCAGGTATTTCATATAGCATCCAAGGAATGGACAGTGTATGGCTCTTCTTCAACATTGAACCATTTATGTTAAATAATGCAGACACCGCATATCTGCAAATATTACTTATAAGCTTTAATGCATTCTGTGTCAAACACCATGACTTAGAGCCCACAAGAAAATGAAAAAAAAGAAGTCAAGATATCAAGGAGGAAAAAGATGATTACCCCTAGGACTCTTGTAGGATGGTCATGTACTAGCTGCTGTAGAACCTGTGCAGGAAGGGGAAAAAACAGCATAAGCACTCAATCTAAGTGACATTTTTTAATAGGAAATAGGATAGTTTGAAAGTTTAAACAACCTCAAACACACCTGGGGTCGACATCACAATCTCCAGCTACAATGAAGAAATATAAAAGTATTAGAAACCCATAACTGGTGATCAAAATAAAAGTATACTACTACACTGTAGATCTCCTAAATAATGCAAACACGCACCAAAAATTTCTTGTACAACGATTGCGCTTCCTTGGCAGTTAGTCACTTTTTTTGGGTAAAATGTGGTACTTATTGTCAGCTTAGCAACAGAAATAGAAGAAAAGGAAGAGCAATTGAAAATAAAAGTGGGTTATCTCCTTAGAATGAGAGACAACCATTATATATCAACCAACATATCGATGCTTACAAAACTACCCTCACTGCTGTATAAGAAAACCCTAACACTTGCAAAAACAGGAAAATGCAGCAGATATTTCCTCCCACCATATGAAGTTGTAACCCAACTTTCCAAAATGCAAGGCACCTTAGGCTTGGCAAGAATTTAAATACCACCAGGGACAGCTGATTCCAAACTGATGCAAGTATGAATGTTAATTGTTGTTTAAACGGTTTAGGTTTTTCCTTTCATATTTAACAACAGAGCTTGTAGGGAAAGAAGTTTCTACTTCCTGTACGAAATTTAAGGAAAAAAAGAGTTATGAATGGAGAGCTCACAACTGAAATGCCACCATGAAGTGCAGCACATGCAGCTTCAATTGCCTGCTCTGCACTACACAAAAAGGAAACAGACAGTAAGCCCAAAATCCTGGGGCAAATCGTCTGCTAAATTTACCAAAAATACGAAAACCTTGTAACATTGTTCAAAAATTCAATCTTAATAACTCTATCACCCTGTTTAACTTTTGACAAGTGAAGATGAGCACTATTATCCTTTTAGATCAATAAGAAATATTATTCAAACAAAATGCAGTACAAGCAGCCAAGGTCACAATACATCAACAAGCAGGTTTTCCTGCACACGAAGCATAACAGAAACTGAAAAACAAGTCAATTTCAAGCTAAAAAGGAGCTGAGCACCCCTAAGCCTAATGAAGATTCCTATTCTCGGTACCATGCAATATAAATTACAAAGAAACTCTCCTATTTGTTTCTTGGCCCTTTCCATCTGCTCAAGTATTTTGATGACATTTAGGAAGAATAGAAAATACTTGACCTACAGACCTGCATCCCAAATAGAATAGACATGATCCAGCATGCACAGGACAGATGCTTCGTTTTTCCAATAAGTATATCTCAGACAGAAGAGTGAAATCTTTATAGGAAAGTGTTAAAAAAAAATTGAAAGCATCCTAAAATATTCCTGGAAAAGTGTTTGTATTGCAGAAAAATTAAAATCTGATCTTTGCAAGTGGTTGTATTTCCCGAAAAGGGTATTTCACTCTAGCCTTTATTTGACTTAGGATCAACCACTGATGCAAGGCTGTCCGGACTGTTTTAATTAGCAGAACTGAATGCAAGTTCGTGGATGAGATGCAAAAGTCATCAACAAAGCAAAGACACAAGAATCAATTTGCCCCGTTAATCATATACAAAAACTAGGCATAGTAAACACAAAGGCTAATGCTATGATCCAAGTAATGAACTTCTCTGGAACATTGAGGAGAAAGTCTCATCTAACTGTATCTTAAGCCTTAATTATGTCAATCTTTATCGCAAATCATGCTGGTTTTGGAGTTTATTTGTTAGTTTGAAACTAGTTCTAGAGAAAATGAGCATTATCATCTTGTGTCACAAGTACCCAGATAAATTAAAAGCAAAATAAGAAAACAAAAACCCATAAAAATGGAAATTTTCTTATCAAAGTATGTAAATTTCATACAAAAATACAAAAATTGTAGTCACCTATTGGCACGAAGGCAGGCGATGACACCTGAACTCTCAATCTGCGTCAAGGTTTTCTCAGTAGAAATCCCACGAGAGAAGCAACAAACCCGAAGGCGGTTTGGCCGAGG